CTACAGGTGAGGAAATTGAAGGCCACGCAGCAATTGGATGGCTGAGCCCAGCTGAGACAGTGCCTCACGGCTACAGCCTGCGGTCCAACAGCACCCTCTCGTGGGCTTTCAGGGAACTTCCCTTTAGTCAAAGGCTCGACCTAGCTGCGGGCACAGGTTCAGATATCCCAGGACCCCCCCCACAGACCTGTGTGCACTTGGACTCCACACTCTGCAGTGCGGGGTCAGGCCCAGGAGTCACCTGCATGCACTCTCTTTAGCTTGTCATTGGAATTCGCACATCCACCTACACACACACACACACACACACACACACACACACACACACACACACCCTCTCCTAGGATATCAATTCTCCCACGAAATTAATATTGGTAAAATGCTTTGAATGATCTGACTAGTACGAATATCACGTGAGCCAATATGAATTTGACATTTTCTAATAGCCACATTAAACAAGGTAAAATTAATTTTAATAGTATATTTCCTTTAACCTGGAGGTTGACCTGTGGGTCAAATCTGGCCTACTTGATCCAGTCGGAAGGAAAAAGAAAAATGTCAGATGGAATATAGGGAAACCAAATAAGACATGTGGGAAAAAATAACAATACAAAACACAACACAACAAAACAAAACAAAAACAATTATAAACCAGAGACATCCTGCAGGGTAGGGGGAGGGAGAGGAATGAGAGGGAGGGAGGGAAGCGCACAGGGGACTGAGGTGATGGTGCACGGGTGCATTGGTGAAGGAAGTTCTACAGGGACTACCCCTGAGGGGATGGGGGGGAAGCAAATATTGTTTAAAAATGAACAATGATGTAAAATAGATATAAATAAATTTTTAAAAAATCTACTCTACTGTCTATTTTTTTTTAGATTTATTTATTTATTTATGCAAGCACTGGGTACAGTCAGAAGCGCAGGAGGGTAAGAGAATTCACCAGAGCCAGAGCAGTGAGTAGCATAGGCAGAAGGACCAAAGTACACTGCTGAGGGGAGCAGTGGGTGCAGCAGGAGAGGTCTGCGCGCCAATTGGGACCCTCGTCGGGGGCTGGGGATCGAACTGGTGCTGCAGAGGCTGCAAGCAGCTTCGCAGCCCAGCGCTCAACCGCTGCGCCACCGGGGAGGCCCTCTACTGTCTCTTTTTAAAAAAGATTTATTTATTTATGCATAAAACAGCTGGGGTACAGGCCAGAGATGCAGGGGATGAGACAGAGTGGGGAACAGAACAAGCGGATTGACCGAAATACACTGCTGAGGGGAGCAGCAGGCGAGGCAGGAGAGGCAGGTCTGTTTTGCCATGTGGGTTTCTCCCTGGCCGGCCGGGGATCAAACTCGTGCTGCGGAGGCTGCGGATTGCTTCATAGTGTGGTGCTTAACTCCTTGTGCCACCAGGGAGGCCCTGTCTATTTTTTTAACTGAAGTTTTATGGGAACGTAGCCATGCCTGTTTGTTTCTGTACTCTGTGACTTTCCACATGGCAATGGCGGAGTTGAGTCTGTGCAGCTGAAAATTTGACCATCTAGGTCTTTACAGAGAACGTTTGTCAACCACTGACTAAACCCAAAATGTCCAAATTTGGTTATTTCTATATGTAATTCAACATAAGCAGCATTAATGATATATTTAACACTTTCATCATGCTAAATTTGGAAATTCAATGCATCTCATATTTCTAGCACATCTCAATTTAGATGAGTTGGATGAGACACATTTCAAGTTCTCCTGGGTACTCAACCATTCCTGATGATGGAACTGGACATACAGGCTCAGGAACTATCATAGATATGATCATTAACGACATAAGTAAATTCCCAGAAGAATTACGCCCTAACACCTGGGATATCCACTGTCTGTTTGAAGCAACCTTTTCTCCATGCCTCTGGAATGGCACTAGCTCCATAGACCCAGCCTTGGAAGAACTGAGATAATAGTCACTCAAATCATTTTCTGAAAGCCTAAATATATTCACAAAATCCCAACTGAGAAAAGTTGCCCAGATGGCAGCCTGTCTTCTCCTAAACAGCTTGCAGACTTGCTGCTAATGGAGATTAGCATAATAATTACTATAATCCACAAACAGAGAGCCAGGCCCTTGAAAGGCATTTTCTCAGCATTGCTTCATTTAATGACTGAAATAATGGTGACCACCCTAGGGAAGCCCACTCCAACACCCCATGCTGACGCAGGTGCCTCTTCCGTGCCCCAAAGTCACCCATCTTCCCTTGCTCCAGCCCTTCTCACTCCATGCTATGAACCCCAAAAAGATATTTACCCCCCACTCTCCCCCCTCCCCCATGCCCCAGGAGGGCCAGCCTAGGCCTGGTGGATGGCAGCAGGGAGGCCAATGTTGGTTATGTTCAATCAAATGACCTCAGAAGAACACAAAGGGTGTTGTATTTGTTTAAATATGGCAGTTATTTCTCTGGCACAAGTGCCAGCAGAATCACACCCACACATTAGTTTAAAATAGTGAACTACTTCTCATAGTTAGGAATAGTTGCTGCAGCCTTGCACCCCTCAGCCCCTACTCTAGGGTCCCCATTCCTTCCCGGGATCCAACCACTGACAGGCATGGCATAGCATGGGAACCTCAAGACCCTGCTTCAGCTCCATGGCCAGGATCTGCCCTGATGGCTGGACTCAGGTCTTCCCACTGTTAGCTCCTTGACCCCATCTCTACCCCAAGTTCATTTGCCCCTCATCACATCTCTCTCCCCTGTCTAGTGATAGCCAGCCCATCCCAGGGCTCCAAAGAACACCACCAGGGTCCTGACCAAGCTGAGCTAGCTCCCTGGGTGCCCACAGGCTGCAAATCCTGTCTGTTCTATTAGTGATGCAGGTGCTGATGAAACCAGCTACCATTCTGGGGGCACTTACCATGTGTCAAGCACTAGCCTGGTTCTTTCTGTATGTAAAAGGACACTTTGGGCTGACCCAGTGGGGCACAGACAATGCCTTCAATCCCTCTTCCGTGGCTGTTTGTACCCACCAGGATGATGCTCCCATCTGTAACTGCGTGGGGGAAGGGTAGGAATGGCCAGCATTATCTGTCATCTGTTCTCCATCTGAGCAGGCTTGGGTTAAAGGCATGAAGCCAGAAGCTTATAGAATATTCCAGAGATTTTGGGAACAACTGTGGGTTTGAGTAGGACTTCTATAGAGGAAAGCAGTCTTCCTGTCTCTGCCCCAAACCTGGCACTGTGCTTGCTAGTACCCAGGGGCATCCAGTATCAGCTCCTCTAGCTCCAGTGATAGGGTTGCTGGATGAAATACAGGATGCAAAGTTACATTTGAATTTCTCATAGAAAAATGAATGATTCTTTTAGTATAAGTATGTCCCAAATACTGCATGGGAAATACCTACTAAAACATTGCATGTGGTTTATCTGAACTTCAAACGAAACTTGGCCTCCTGTATTTTCATGCTCCGCCTGGCCCTGGCTTCCCAGGCAGTGGGCACGAGCGGTAGCCTGAGCAGGGCAGGAGGCAACCCAGGGTTGCCTAGAGGTATTGGTTCTGTGGACACAGGGAATCAAATCCATCCCAGAAGACTGATGGACTCAGGAGTGTCCGCTCCCCACAGGTCTTCCCTGACTGCCACGTCTGCCACGGTGGCCCCCTACCCTCCTCCTAATTTATCTTTTTATAGCCTGGACACTCAAAATGTGGCCCACGGGCCAGCAGCATCAGAATGAGCTGGGAGGAGCAGGGACCGCTGCCTGCTGTCTGCCACCACTTCCTGTATCTCTGCTTGTTGTCAGCTCTCCCTGAGGGCAGGGTCGGTATCCTGTTTATTCTCTGCTAGACCCCAGGGCTGAAAAGGGCCTGAACATATCAGGTGCTCAATAAATACTTGAATGAATGAATGAGTCAGAATGAAAATGTTGGTGTTTTCCCTCCTCAAACTGTCACTCTTTTGTGTTTGTTCACTCACCAGTTTGGGGGCAGAGCTTGCATTCACTGACTCCTGATCTACCTCCTCAAGCTGCCCTGAACAAAGGGATCAAGGGAGAGAATGGATATCTGACCCACCCACTTACTTCACGGGCTTTTGTGAGGGTAATTCCCGGTCAAGGAGCTTTTTCACCTGATTTCCCCAAAACACTGTGACATAGGAAGGCAGTTCCATTTACTCCCATTTTTCAGATGTGCAAACTAACGCCCAGAGAAGATAAGGTTCTAGCTTGAGCTCATGTAACTTTGGAAGAGGTGGAGCCAAGATTTGAAGTCACACTTCCGGATTCCAAATCAAGGCCTCCTTCCCTAGTCCATATTCATTTGTTCATTCATTCCATAGTCATTGAGTGCCAGCCCTAAGTAGGGAGCTGGGAGGACCTTAATAAAGTTAACTGAGAAGTCCTGGAACCTGGGCCTCCCCATTGGTGCAGCAGGTTGAGCGCAATGCCTGCTAAGCTGTCTGCAGCCTCTGCAGCGCCGGTTCGAGTTCAATTTCCCGCCAGCCAGGGAGAAACCCACATGGCGTGGCAGACCTCTCCTGCCTCGCATGCTGCTCCCCTCAGCAGTGTCTTTGGTCTGTTCTGGTGAATTCTCTCACCCTCCGCGCTTCTGGCCTGTACCCCAGTTCTTGTTTAAATAAATAAATAAATAAATAAATAAATAAATAAATAAATAAATAAATAAATAAATAAAATAGTCCTGGAACCCACAGGGCTCAGCAGACCAGGTGCATACTCAAGAAGAAACATGACATGACAAGCCCAGTGGTTTTACTGACTCTAAAAGGTGAATCAAATCTGCCTGGAAGACTCTCCAACTTCCCAGTGGTGGTGACAAGGGAAAGGTGCCAGCAAAGAGAGGCAAGAGGAACATTCCAGGCCTGGAGACGAGCGTGTGCGAGACCTGGAAGTGTGAGGTGCCTGAATGGTGAGCCCGTGGGATGTGCGGGCGGGTGAGGGGTGATAACAGACGAGGTTGGAGAGGGAGGCCAAACCTGCGTGCCAAAGGGCTGAAATGGCAAGATACCGGCGGCCTTACCCACATGCCAGCCGTAGTCCCAGGATGACAGGATCGGGTATGGAAACTTCTCCTCTGGCTTCTGCCGATGCCGCTCCCGGAGGTACAAAGCCCGGCCTTCACCATCGTGGGAGATGCCTTGGAAGAGCAGCTGCAGGGTGCTAGGGGGAACCTTCCTCATTTCTAAGCCCTCTGGCTTGGTCTGGCCTGCTGGTGTCTGAATTGCTCTTTGAGCCGCCCAGATTCTGTCTCCTTTGCGTGGGGTGCCCTGGACATGTACTTCCTTGGGTGGCTGAGCCCCAAGTCCCTTAGTCTCCGGCCATCCAGCCCATGCCTCCTTCCTACGAGGGTAGCTGGTGGCAGGCACAGACACTCCCAAGTCTGACCTGAGAGGGGCCTGCCAGACCTGCTTCCTGGGCTTGGGCCTCTCCTTAGGATATTTGTGGCCATAGTTGATCTTCCAAGCAACCCGGGCAGCGGCCTCCTTCTGGATGCACTCCTGCCAGTAGGCTTGGTTGTGGGAAGAGAGCAAACCCCTCATGACAGTGATGGGGAGGCAGGAAACATTCTGCCCACAGCTCAGTAGCCTGTGTTTGAGCTGCAGTTGCCTCGTCTCCAAGGATACATGCAGCCAATGAGAGCTGGTTGCCAAGGCCCTGCTGGAGAGGGGGGAGGGGCTGGGCTGCTCAAGGACCTCGAGCCACCCATGGGTAGCAGGCACACCGGCATGCACCCAGAGTGCCCGGCAGGGAGCCCTGCTCTGCCCAGAAGGCCTCAGGGCCCAGTGTCTGCCTCTCATACTCACAGTGTCAGGGGTGGCTCAGGGGTTACCACAGACTTTTTTCCACTTAGTGAACCTCAATGTACACATGCTATGGGCCAAATACCCAAAGGGGGTTGAAAGAGAAGCCCAGTATTCATCACTGACACTCCAGACACTGGGGAGCGGGACAGCAGCTCCCCAGATACAGCCCGACAGACAGCCGTATGGTCTGATCTGTATAACAAAATCATAGCGGGAAATAGCTTTAGGGCTGAGAGTGGCATTAGGCCAAGTGTACAGGGACCTGGCTCAGGAGCCCTCGCTAAATGTCAGCAGCTCTTGAACGAGCCCAGACAGGCACCAGAGCTTGCTGCATGCTGTGTGCCCCAAACCACCCTCCTCCCCTGCTGGGGCTCTCGTAACCTCCTTTTCAGGTGCGGAAATAGACTTAGAAATGAGGTGCCCACTCCAGGGCACACCACTGGTATGCGGCAGTACCTACTCTGTGCCAGGCCCTGGCTATGAGTGAACTGTCAATCCTCATAACATCTTACTATCAGGCTCTCTTTCATCATTTTTCCAGATGAGGAAACTGGGGTTCAGTAATGTTAAATGGTCATACTGGCATTGATTCCAAAACTCATATCCGTGTGTTACAGACACAAAACTCACCCCAGAATGTGAGAAGCATCAAGAGGGGTCTGTAGGCAGGGCGAGGCAGGGAGGACCCAGTAGTGGATTTGGCATCACCATAAAGTCAGCCACCTGGATCCTCGAACCCACTGCCTCCCTGACCCTCCAGAGGTGAGTAACAACAAGGAGTTTGAACATAATGATCCCAGGACATTTACTTTTCCACTCTCTGCCAAGTTTACTCTTGTTTATTCATTCAACAAACATACATTTGCTCTTGACCTTGTGCAGGCACCAAATCTGACACTAAAGGTAAATGAAGAAGGACAGATCGAGATGCTCCTTGCCCTCAGGGTTTCACAGTCCAGAAGTGAAGACAGATTAATAAGCAGGTGGATAGAGGGGGATCCAGAGGGATGGGGAAGCATGGTTAAAGAAGGTTTCCTGGAGGAGGGTCCTTTTGATTGAGTCCTGAACTATGAACATGAGTTACAGAGGCCAAAGAGTACTGCAAACTGAGACCCCGGTTCTGAAAGGCAAGAAAGGGCATGCTACATAGACTGTCCTCTGTGCTTTGGCCTTCCAAGTTGTAAAATGAGGGCTCTGCCAAATTTGGGAAATTGTGCAAGATTAAGAGCTGGTTAAGCAGTCCCAACTATCAGCTGTTACAACGGGCTGCATGGGACAGCCTGGGCCTGGTCATTCTCCTTTTGAGCACTCACAATGGTTTTTGATTTATTGTGCAATCACAGCTTTCATGCAGGCTCCCTGACCAGGCCTTAAAGCTACTCATTCTTTTGGTACTGAGATCCTTCTATGTGCCTGGAGCTGCAAGTGAACAAAACCCACCAAATGTCCTGCCTTTATAAGAAGTTGGCTCCTGTGCCCTCTTTTGTTCAATGTAGTCCTTATACCTCCAGGACCTCTCTGGGGGGGGGGGGGGAAGGGTATTGCCTGGCACACAGTAGGTGCTCAGAAAACCTTCTCAAGAAACAATAAATAGGCGTCCTTTACATTGACTTTGTTGTAGGGAAGTGTATAGGGGAGAATAGAAGGAGGAAAGCCTGGAGCGTCAGGCCAAGGAGTGGCAGGAACTGGGGCTACTTGAGTTCGTTGATGATCCCCCAGATGATGTCTGTGTGTGGTGTGGGGGGCGGGGTGGGGGTTGCAGTGGGATGGTTCTTGATCCCAGAACTCCAGAAAGCCTTCCTGACCCAGCCCCACCTTCACACTGGCAAGTCCAGTGCCCCTAGCAAGCACCAGAGGGCAGAGGTGGGTGTCCCCTTCCAGTGCCTTCCAGAAACACAGGAATCGCTGTTCGTCCTGCAGTTTGCGCGTTCAAGGCGACCTCTGGTGGTCACCGCAGAGAGGACAGCCTGGAGGCTGTGTTCCCACTCACATGGCAGATTACTAGACCCTGTTAGTGGGTACAGGATGAACAGACTCCCCCAGGAGGTGGGGAAAGTGTGCCCGCCAATGCACACCCAAGGAGAGCTGCCTCAGGTTCGATTCTCCATGGCTGCAGCCACCCAGGGCCAGGCCCCTGCGTGCGGTCCTCTGCTTCGAGGCCCTCTTCCTAAATTCTGGTTTCTCAGGTTTTTACATAGTCTTCACCATTACTGCCTGTTTGACACTGGGCCAATCATTTTACCTCCCTGAGCCCTGGCAAAATCTCCTATAAAAAATGAGCATAATCATAACATTCAGGGCTTAGCTTATCGTGTTACTTACGATATTTTTTCTTCCTGAAGATTTAACTTCATAATTACAAACCCATTCAACAACTCCTGCGAAGGTGTGGGGGGAGCCTTCAGCCCTGTCTCTGGCCTAGGCCTGTGCTAAGGGAAAGGGGCCCCTGAAGTGTAGAAACTGGGAACAGAGCTGGCCAGGATGTGAACTGGAGCCCTCCCCGGGGCTTCTGATTTATCTAGCTCTCCTCCCACATTTCTGGCCACACCCCCAAGGCCACCAATGTCCCCCTTGTTTAGAATTGTCATTGGCTCGCCCCACCCACACCCACTGATGGTGCTGAACCCCAAACCCCTGCCCCAGGCTGGCTCCATCCGCAAGTGCCTCTCCTAGGACTCGGTACTTGCTTGCGGCCTTAAAGTAGCCCCTCTCCGGTTTAAGGTCTCCGTGTAGAAAATCGTCTTGGTTACCTCAGTAATTCTGCAATGCTTTACCATGTCCTGGACACTGTGGCATGTCCTTTATGCGCCTTTTGTCAGTTAGTCCTCACAACACTGAGTGGGTAGGTTCTATTACCTCATTTCTGTTTTTTTAATTTTTAAATTTTTTAAAGATTTATTTTTATTTATTTGTGCATACAGGAACTGGGGTTCAGGCCAGAGGTGTGGGGTGGGAGGGTGGCGAGAGGATTCACCAGAGACAGAGTGGGGGACAGAAGAGGCAGATCTACTGAAAAACACTGTTGAGGGGAGCAGTGGGCAAGACAGGAGAGGTCTGCTGGGCCATGTGGGTAGCTCCCTGGCCAGGGATTGAACTCAGGCTGCAGTGGCTGGTGATAGATTGATAGCACTGACACTTCAACCCTTGCACCACCAGGGAGGCACCCCTATTACACCGTTTCATTAGAGAGAAAACAGAGGCACTGTTTTCTGTGAGACAAGCAATCTGCCAGAGGTCACAGCAGGGCCAGGAATCAAACCTGCTGGCCCCTGCTTGTAACCACCCTGCTAACCCACCCTCTAAGCCATCCTCCCTGGAAGTGATGGGGAGCTGAGTCTCCCTAATACTCCAGCAACCCCTCTCCTAGCAGCTCTGGGTGGGGAAGGGTTTGCCCAGGCCACTTGGGGCATGGATGTGTTGGGAGAAACTTTCTAGAGGCTAATCCTAAGATGGAAGTTTCTCATCATCTCCCCATTTTATGGATGAAGATGCTGGGCACAGAGGCTGCCACTGCCTGAGATGTCTGAGCTGGTAAACACAGAGCTGGGGCTGTAATCCAGACCAGACCCCACAGCATCCGATCAGCTGCTTTTCAAGCATCTTTCACACACCGGGTTATTCTGCTGCTACCAGGGCCTGCTGCTTGTAGCTGGGCCTGAAATTGGCCTTTCCCTGGCTTGGCACTTCCGCCAGTGTTTCCTTCTTCTCGAGATCACATTCCCAGGGTTCAGCAGCAGCTTTGCCCTAACAAAGTCCACGTGAACAGGGAGAGGCATCCTGGTGCCGTTGGAGGCAGTGGCCACAGCAGGACTCATGTGGGCTATAAAAGGCTCCCAGATGCTTTCATCTTGGAGTTTTGTCCTGGAGAGATAAGCAAGTACAAAATATGAAACACCCTTGGACATGAGCCACTAGTCAGGCTTGTAAATGCCATATCGCCTGCCTGCCTGTTTTTGAGAACGTTTAAGAAAGAGGGGTGTGGGGCGGGCCACCCTAAATTCCTTGCACATGAGCTGGTCCCCTGTGTGCTCCGGGTCCCAGACAAAAGCCTTATCACAAAGCAAAAAAGGATCCCTTTGTTTAAGAGATTCCTCCCACCATGTGTTTGGGCAGCATCCTTCAGACAAAGTCAGAGGGAAAAATTGAATCCAGTCATGCCTTGAACCCCGATGTGACATTTTCACTCCCTCTTCGAGTTATGATTTGCTTTTGTGAGGAGAAAAAGAGTTAACTAAACAAGATGCATTTCTGGGAGAGAGTTTTCCTCAGAGAAGTATTCTGATTACAAAGCGCCTTCCCCTCCTAGTTAATGTGGACTTGGACCCATTCCTTGCCTAGACCCTGCTTCCAGAAGGCGGGAGGTAAGGCCAAAGGGCATTTAAATTAACCATCTTGTACAATTTTTTTTTTTTTTTTTTTTTTGTGGGACCCTCGCCGGTGGCCAGGGATCGAACTGGCGCTGCAGAGGCTGACGGGCAGCCTCACAACCCAGCGCTCAACCACTGCACCACCAGGGTAGGCCCCATCTTGTACCCTCTTTGAAATACAAACTGGGGGGTCAGGCACCACCGATGTGGAATGAACACTCATTTTGCCACTTATTCTAATTTTTAAGGTCGTGCAAATTTCAAGGAAAATTAAATCCCTCTGTGTCTGGCTCATTACACCAAAATCATCAAAATGTGGCTTCCAAGGCTCCTTTGAAGACTGGACATGTGGTCAAGAGCCCATGTGTTTATAAATGCATTGGAAACAAAGAGACAAGTTAATAAAACGTTTCCTTCTTGGGGGCATTG